CATGCATGCTGAAACTTTCATGACCCTGTCATTGGGAATCACCCTAAATTCACTTCTCGCCTACATTAAAACTGGCCTTAGTTATTGGTGTCCCCAAGCAGCAACTACATATCTTAAAAACCCCAGAGTTATTTTAACCACCCACAGCTGCCACACTGCAGGGAGCTGCAGTTGCCCCCAACCCCAAGGCCCAAACCACACCCGGATTCTATAATAGCATCCTAATTGGCCTCACTAGTTCAACATCTCTTTCCTCATATTTTTCTTCACTTGCCATTTCACATTACTGTGACCCTGAAACTTGATCACCATCCTCAGAAACTTCAATAGCTTCCTATGATGTTGACCTCATACTCAAGGCTGTCCCAAATTTAAACCAAACTCATATTACCAGCCTTTATTTCTTTTCTGTTATCATTTCTATGCTTATTCAATACATATAACAATTTTTCTTCTTCTAATTTTTTCAGGACCCTGAGGACCTGTGTTTCCTTTCCCAGTAGATCCAACGGAGTACTATTTACCCTTCAAGATCCTTTTCAAATTTTTGTCCTCCCAGAAGTTTCCTCTAACCACTACAGCTCAAAGTATTCTCTCCTTCTGTTGAATCTCATCTGAAATGACTGCTTCTACAACTCACTTGAATTTACCATTTACTGTCTAATACAGAAAAAGGAGTAAATACATATGTGTGTTAGTTCCTTTATCAGACTAGATGCTAAAGAAAATGCAGGAAATCTGGCTTGGTCATAAGCTAGCATAGTACATTTCATCACATTTTTGTGTCACCAGTTCCCCTGAAATTGAGTTAATTCCAGGAAAAGGCTAGTTTCCCCGATAGCAATACTCCATTTGAATCCTTTTAACATTTAGAAAAAGAAACATTGACACTGAATGACATGATGATTTCTCTTTTTTTCAGATTTTTAAATTTTATTTGAATGTCAGAGTTACAAAGAGAGAATGTGAGGCAGAGAGAGAGTTTCCATATTTGGATCATTCCCCAAATGGCCACAACAGTCAGTGCTTGGCTGGTCCAAGTTGGGAGTCATGAGCTTCTTCTGTGTCTTCCACAAGAGCACAGGAATCCAAGGACTTGAACATCCTCTGTTGCTTTCTTAGGCCATTAGCAGGGAGCTGGATAGGAAGTGAAGCAAGCCAGGACTTGAAGCGGTGCCCAATTGGAATGCCAGCACCACAGGCAAAAGATTCATTTGCTACACCACCAGGCCACACCCATGATTTATTTTGAAAAGTTTTTAGGCCTTTTATGAACAAATTGAGATTATCAAGAATTCCTAAAGTCATCCCTTAATGCTGAACTATATCAGCCCTTCAAAATCTCAAAACTCACTTCTGCTCCAGTTTAGCCCTGGCATCCCCAAGGCTGTCAGAGGGATGGCCTAGGGAACGTCTAAAGGACATGGATATCGGTTTAAAAATGGATGAAGATAAAGACTCTTATCCTCATCATTATCAACCTCAAAGTAATATTTATTTTGCCCTAAAGGTTAACAAAGACTTGCTTTCATATTACATAATTTGCTGCTCACAGGGCTAATATGAGTTACTATTTCCACCCTGTGGGGAAGACATAATTCAGAAACACTTTGTGTTTTATGAACATTGTCCAGTTCATCAGCAGAAGGACTGACGCCTGCAGCTCTGCCTCCATGTCTTTCTACCTCAAGCCACAGCTCTGCACTTGCACAGGGGTGTTTAATGGTGTCAGTTTTTTCATCTCACGCCTGTATGAACCCTCTGCCTTTTCTCAGCAAGCACAGGATGCTCATCAACAACACCAGCACCACAAATCCCACCAGCTTCACCCACATGTCACCCACTCTGTCTAATTGGCCTTTGATGCCCGTCATTGCTTTTTGCCTGTCTTGCTATGTGGCCACCTGTGGCTTCACATTTGCTCTAATATCAAGAACGCCTTGACTTTCACAAGCTGCCTCCACACTTGCTGGAGCTTCACTGAGAGATCCCAGCAGTATTACAAGTCTGTGGATGCCTTGTCTTTTTTATCTCTTCGTGACTAGTATGAATCCAGAACGGGATTATGATTAGGTTCTACGGCCTAACTTCAAAAATGCCTAGAGAAGGGCCCGGCAGCGTGGCCTAGTGGCTAAAGTCCTCACCTTGAACGCGCCAGGATCCCTTATGGGCACCGGTTCTAATCCCAGCTGCTCCACTTCCCATTCAGCTCTCTGCTTGTGGCCTGGGAAAGCAGTCGAGGACGGCCCAAAGCCTTGGGACCCTACACCAGTGTGGGATACCTGGAAGAAGTTCCTGGATCCTAGCTTTGGATCTGCATAACATCAGCCGTTGCAGCAACTTGGGAAGTGAATCATCGGAGGGAAGATCTTCCTCTCTGTCTCTTCTCCTCTCTGTATATCTGACTTTTCAATAAATAAATAAATCTTTTAAAATACCTAGAGAAATAGAAGATGAGGAAACACTGCTGACTATAAAATTTGCAGGATCAGTGAATAATAGAGCTCTTTGTTCAAACAGTATTAAAAACTTGAAGGTAGCATTCCAGCCAAGTTCATAGCTCTTCCGAGCTCAGAGTTCTGTGCAACTACACAAACCACATACCTGTATCCAGAACATTCAGGCTGGGATGTTCCAAGTGCCCCGCTGCCAGACCTCATCAGCCCAAGAAAACAGTTTCTCTGGTAAGAATGACTGCAGTGTTAACTAGGACTCCACTCGCTGATGGCAGTTTAGCCTCTCTTTCTCTTCCCACGATGTTTTTTTCGAAAGGCTCTTCACATTCAGCATCCATCCTACTGTATTATTTTTCACTTATACGCATTTCTGTCTCATTCTGAGAGCTATGAAATCCTCAGGGCTTCAATGATGTCCTTATGTACCCCTGTCTCTAACACAGCCTTTGGTATCTAGTTAGCACTGAATAAATGATTACAGGCTAGGATTCCTAGTTTTCCCCAATCCTGCTTCCAAGCACAGGCACACGGCCCTGATGCAGCTCCTTTTGTACTGAGCACATCCTAAGTTGTCAGGCTCTGTCTGGGTTATTGCTTCTAAGAGAAAAATCTCCATTGGCTCAAAAGGAAAGGGGTTTATACCAGCAGTGGTGAAGGTAGCTGTAACAAGACAACCATCAGCTTAAGATTGCCTTTGCATTGATAATACTTCACAGTCAGAGTACTCTCCATGAGTATTGTATTTTCCCTGCTCATTACATCCCTGGGAAAACTTTAGCGTCAACCTGATTCTATTTGTATGGAAGCTTTATGGACTAGTCTTTTGGACTTATTTGTAGCTGGTTAACATCAAAATATCCAAAAAGTGATTGTGGCTCCTGCCCTTTCTGACTTGTCAGTGCCCATGTCATATTGGTTGTTCAATTCTTTGCCACCTATGTGGGCCCAGGCAGTGTTTCTCACTGCAGAAATCTCAGTGTCAATGATATGAGAATGCAAAAGAAGAGGAGAAAAAGAAAAGGACACCTTGCTATTATCTTGCCTCTTATTTTACAAGCCACACAAGCCATTCACCTTCACAAGGCGACAGAGAGGAGGGAGAGAACACAAGTCCATCATTTTTCCTATGTGACATTTGAAAAGGATCCATCTCTCAGCTTTGATGAGAAAGAGTTCTCTGGATTCCAAGAACAAAACAAATGCTTATCCTCCCTCGCCAGGTATTCTCTCAGAGAACCCTCATTAATACAATAACACATTTGCTGTCTGTGGCTATAGTTATCTGATCACAATTGGCGTGCTTCTCTAAACTTAAGTTCCAGAGAAGGACCATTATATCCCAACTCCTTGCATGACTCTCAGATGGCTACCTGTTCAACCAACACTTGTATAAATTAATAAATGTCTGCTACAGCATGTAGAAAAAGATTGACCCAGAATAAATGAAGTCACACCTTCACGAATGAATGAATGATGAGCTTTCCTGGCTTAAGAACTTGTTCCAGGAGCAGACACTTAGCCCAGCAGCTAAGACTTCCACATTCTTTATCAGACTACCTTGGCAGGATTGTCAGCTCTGGTGCCTGAGCCCAGCTTCCCATCAATGCAGACCTTGTGGGCAGCTGTGATACCTCAATGTATTGGAGTTCTGCCACTCCTTGGAAGATATGGATATCATTCCTGGCTTCCAGTTGCAGTCCTAGTCTAGTCCTAGCCATTTGGTCATTTAGGGAGTAAACCAGCAAATAGGTCTTCTCTCATACAGGTTTGTAGCTGAAGAGCAACAGACTGTACCATGTGGCCTAGATATGTAGTAAACTATATGTGAATGTAAATGTACCCTGGTGGTCACACAATATTCAGGTTGTGTATGGATGCATTTTTCCAAATTCCTCTCCATCATCACATGATGTATGATTGTATTAAGCATTTATTTGTTAGATTCTCTTCTAGAGACTAGGAATGCAAAGGTAAAACTAAGAATCAATTGGAGAAGTATTTTCGCCTGAGCTGCAAACATTTTCTTCTTGTATCTTCCAGGAATAGAGTCAAATGCATAATTTTGCAAAAATCATCCTGAAAACCAAAGCACAGAGCAATGGCCCACAAATCCATGAGCCCAGACAGTCCAGGCTCCTGTCTCTTCCTTTCCACTACTTGGCAAGAAACCCTTGGGTGAGGGGAGGAGGGGAAATACACTTGATATCTTACACCTCAAGGGGGTTTGTGGTCTTCAGCTCTCAGATACCTTTTAACTTTCAGAGTCTGTATGGTTTTAATTAAGTGGTTTCAAGGAAGTGGATCTCCCCCCATCCACACACACACACACACACACACAAACACATACACACACTCTTACAGAGGAGTACCAAAACAACAACAACAAAAACAACCACAAGAAAAAAAATTCTCAGGCAGCTGGGTGAGCTGTGTGGGTGGCACACAGATCCTTACATATCCTGAGATAGATCCAAGGTTGGGAAGACAAGGAGCTCTCCTTGGGACAATTGTCAGGTGTTTACAGTTTTCCATTTATGTTCTCAGGGCCAGAGGCAGCTGGAAGAGAAGCCAGCTTCTTCATTGTGAATGGGATCCTGGGAGAGTCAGCTACTTTCTCCTTTGATGTCCAACAACCACAACAAGTTCGAACCATTGCTTTGGTTTCAAAATCATCATCTGTTGCTGTTGTTACAATAAAGGACTCAGGAATGGAACCTATGCTTGTTGTGACCCACAATAATTATCTTGGAAGAATAAAGGTCTCAGGTCCTAATTATGACCTGGTCATCAGTGATCTGAGCATGGAAGACGCAGGAGACTACCTAGCAGACATAAACACTCATGACTCACTCACTACCATCACCAAGCGATTCAACCTTCAAGTCTACCGTAAGTTGTGGAAGGACATAGGGCTTGATTTTCTTTTTATTTGTTTCTTGCAGATTTTCTATCCAAAGAATATCTGTATCTCTGGTCATTGGGTTACCTAAATCTTCTTATAGTCAGGAATACTTAAATAAGTATATCAATACTTACAAATATCAGCCTTAGTCCAGAGGTTTTATTAGTTTTTGGCTATTAGTCTTCCATCATCAATGAGTCCACTGGGTTGTGCTCTTATTTATCAAACACCAGTAAGCTTACTATTCACTTTTTGAAGTTACTGTGAAGATTGAGCAAGACAGTGTGTGTGGAGTGACTTTTTTAAGTACTTCATTTTGAAATAATTTTAGAACCATAAGAAAGTGTAATGCAATGTACAGGTAGGGCTGGATACTCATCACTCTATGGCAACATTTTGTGTAAGTATAAAACAGTATCAAAAGCAGAAATTGACATTGGTATACCATATATAACTTATTTAGATTTTATCAGTTAAACATGCACTCATTTACATGTACGTGTACAGATCTGGTCAAGTAAATAGCGTATGTAGTTTCATGTAGTCAGAGCCACAATCAAGATTATTAACTACCAGCACAAAATTTTCTCCTGCTACTTCTTTACATCCACACCCTTCTCTTACTCTTTCCCTCCCCAACTCATGGAAATCTAATGTATTTCTAGCAGAAATGTTATTTCACAAATGTTATATAAATGAAACATCACAATTTAAACCCTTTCACTGATAGTATTCTGTGATCCCGTTGTACCAGCTTGATCAACCAGTCATTATTTGAGGTGCAACTAATTAGTTTCAGCTTGGAGCTATTTTACACAAAGTTACTCAGAATATTCTTATACAAGCTTCTGCGCGAAAGTGGTTTTCACTTTTCTGGATCAGTGCACAGGAATGAAATCATATAGTTAATCCAGTTTTTTTAAGATGTATTTACTTTATTTGAGAAAGAAAGAGAGTGAAATGAGGGAGAGAGAGAAAAAAGAGAGAGAGAGAATGCTCTACCCAGTGGCTTATTCCCCAGATGACTGCAATAGTTATGGGCAGGCTGCAGCCAGGAGCCAACAATTCTATCTTGATCTCTCATGTAGTTAGCAGAAGCCCAAGTATTTAGATCATGATCCACCGCTTTCCAAGGCAGAATAGCAGAAGGCTGAATCAGAAGCAGAGCAGCTAGGACTTGAACTGGCACACCGATCTAAGATGTTAGCATGACAAGCATCAAGCCGCTGCACTACAACATCAGCCTCCAGTTTTAATTAAAAAAAAAAAAAAAGACCAAACTTTTATCCATTTTCCATTTCCACCCCCCCCCCAAAATGTATGTGTGAATCAGTTTCTATATCACTTCACCAGACTTTGGTGTCGTGCTTGTTTCTCTTTTTTTGAAATATAATAATGTCTCACTTTAGTTTTAATTTGACTTTTTCTAGTACTTAATGCCAAGAGATTTTTAAAGATAAAATACTGGAACTACTTGTTAGCACTATCGTAATTGTCACAATCCATTGAGCAGTGAGTGTGATCCACGCGCTGACTGCACCAGCAGTGCTTAGGGGCACTGAGGAATTACAAATCCTCAGGACCTATTCTCAGCCTTTGAGGATTAGGTTATTAACTGCATACTTAACACTCTGTATTACAACCATGCACATTAAAGTTTGAGAAGCACTAAACTATATCCATCCTTGGTACCTATAGGTATATGCAGTCCTTGAACATCTTGAGAGCTAGAAAGCTCTGAGATGTGCTATAAAGATAAAAGACATAACAGATCTGGAGGATAATCACTAAAATATATATAATATATTATCAATAAGTTTTTCAAGGATTTATTTATTTTTATCGGAAAGGCAGATTCACACAAAGATCTTCTATCTGCTGGTTCACACCTCAAGCTGCCGCAATAGTCAGAGTTAAGTTGATCTGAAGCCAGGAGCCTCTTCCTGCTCTCCCATGCAAGTGTAGGGTCCCAAGGCTTTGGGTCATCCCCTGCTGCTTTCCCAGGCAGCAAATAAGGAACTGGATTAGAAGTGGAGCACCAGGACACAAATCAGCACCCGTACTGGAGCCTGGTATTTGAAGGGAGAGATTTAGTTAATTGAGCCATTGTGCCAGGCCCCATTAATAATCTTTATACTAGTTAAGATTGAAATCGTGTTTTGAATACATTCATTTATTATTAGAAAAATGCATTGTTAAGTTTAATATTATCTGTTTAACTTCACAGTTTTTAACGTGGTTATTGGAAAGTTTTTTATTACATAATTGATACATATTTCTATTTGGGCAGCACTAGTTCCTAGAACATAGAATACCTGGGGCATTTCTCAAAGATTTTACCATCAATCTGTCCCATAGCAGACATGTGGCTAATCCATGTTGTGAAAGACACAATTTGGGTATTATGTAATCCACTAGAATGAAAGCTCCATGAAGGCAGGCACTTTGAGTCTTAATTCATTGCTGTTAATAACTACATAATTGGACACATAGTGTATGGTCTAGAAGTATATTATGAATGAAGCACTAAGTGAATCATAATATTCCCAGGTTATAGTGCCTATCTCTTAAGTGTCCAATTACTATAGGATGCATGAATTACATTATGTCTGAATAGAAGACATAGTGGAAAGAATATTAATAATGGAATCAGACTTTGTTAGTTTCTGATGCTGGGCACGTTGTTTAACCTCTCTAGATCTTTTTCTTATCTATAAGATGTAGGTTATAATCAGTGGAATGAAGAGACATAATGTTAGTTTGACACCTAGTGGAGTCCATACTTTAATCACTCAGTACGTAGTAGTACGCTTCATTTTTAATCTTTAACCTTTTGAAAATTCTGGTTAAGAATGTTTTTAAGATTTATTTATTTTTAATGCAAAGTCAGATATACACAGAGGAGGAGAGACAGAGAGGAAGATCTTTCATCTGATGCTTTACTCCCCAAGTAACTGCAATGGTCGGAGCTGAACTGACCCAAGTCCAGGAGCCAGGAGCTTCTTCCAGGCTCCCACACAGCTGTAGGGTCCCAAGGTTTTGGGCAGTCCTCCACTGCTTTCCCAAGCAGGGAGCTGGATGGGAAGTGGGAACGCTGGGATTAGAACAAGCACCCGTATGGGATCCCGGCACGCCCAAGGTGAGGACTTTAATCACTAGGCTGCCGCACTGGGACCCAGTTAAGAATTTCTAGTTAGCAGCGCATATTGTGTTGCCACTGCCTATGAGAGCATTCCATATGAGAGATAGTTCAAGTCCTGGCTGCTCCATTTTCAAACCATCTCCCTACTAATGCTCCTGGAAAAGCAGCAAAAGATGAGTTAAGTACTTGGACTCCTGACACCCACATGGCAGACCTAGAGAGTTCCAAGCTTCTGGCTTCAGTTGCGCCTAGACCAAGCCGTTGCAGCATTTTGAGAGTAAACCAGTAAATGCAAGATCTGTCTCTCTGTGTGTCTGTCTGTGTCTGTCTCCCTCTGTCTCTCTCTAACTCTGACTTTCAAACAAATACATATTTTTAAAAGCAGAATTTCTAGTTAAAGCATTGCTCCAGATGAAGAATCATCTGAATTGAACTTGAATGACATAGTCAAAGAAGCATAGCCAGTTGTAGACACTCTAGAAAATGCCCACACATCCAGAACACAGGCTGATAACAATAAAGAAGTAATCAGTTGTGGAATGTTTATTTGTAATCTCTTTGTACATTTAGCTGTTTCCACCCATTCCTTGGGTGCTGTTGTAGCATTTATATAAAGTCTTACTGTAAAATCCTAGAGAAAGTCATAGTAACATACAACAAAATATGTACCTTATGAGTAGTTGCTTAAGGCAAGAATTAATATTTATTAAACGGTGTGTTTGATTCTACTGCAAAATTTAAAAGACAAGTAGATTATATAGATTTAAGCAATAAATGAACAGAATAAAACTTGAATAGTGAGATATAACTCTCCCTTCTCAGAAGCAGTGACTATTTCCAGTGACTCATCCATGGATAATTAACGTGCATAAGTTGGTAAGTTGGTAAGTTGAAAAGCAGAGTAGATAGGCATGTAGACAAATGGACAGGTAGTATAGAATGGTCATTTAATTCCCACAATGGCCCAATTAGGAGGAAATTGTGTCCCAGTGTTACAGGTGAGTAAACTCAATGAAACTGTATTCCTTCTCAACCACGATTCCATAGCTTGAAAGTGGTAGAATCTGGATTCTGAACCTCATCCCCCACATTTACCATATTTTTTACTTAAGAGCAGGAATGAAGAACTGTCAGTCAAAATTCTGACCTTCTCTGCCCAGTAGCTTTGTACAGGACACAGCTTTGATCTAGCTGGGATCCTATTCTTCACTACCATGTCCCTATCAAAACCCAATAAAAAGGGAAGAAAAAGGACTTATCTGAAACTAGTAAATATTAAGTATTGATGTGTTATTTTTTAAAGTTGTATTTATTTATTTATTTATTTATTCATTTGTATCTAAAAGACAGAGGGGGCAGTGGGGGTGCAGTGGCTAAAGTCCTCACCTTGAGCACTGGAATCCATATGGGTGCTGGTTCTAATCCCTGCAGCCCCACTTCCCATTCAGCTCCCTGCCGTGGACTGGGAAAGCAGTGGAGGACAGCCCAATGCCTTGGGAACCTGCACCCGCATGGGAGACCTGGAGGAAGTTCCTGGCTCCTGGCTTCAGATTGGCGTGGCTCCAGCTGTTGTGGTCACTTGGAGAGTAAATCATCAGATGGAAGATCTTTCTCTCTGAGATCTCTCCTCCTCTCTGTATATCTGACTTTGCAATAAAAATAAATAACTCTTTTAAAAAGAGAGGGAAGAAGGAAGAAAGGGAGAGAAGTCCTACATTCTTCCATCCGCTAGTTCACTCCCCAAATAGCTGCAATGGCTGAAACTAAAACAATTCAAAGCCAGGAGTGTGTTACTTTATGTGGGTCTCCTACATGGATGGCAGGGACCCAAGCATTTGGGCCATCTTTGTAGGGAGCTGTACTGGAAGCTGAGCAATTGAGACTCAAACTGGAACTTTCTGGGATGCTGACACTGCTAAGCAGTGACAATGCATTATACCACACTGCTGCCCCAAGTGATACAAATATTCCTGTAGATCATATTCACATAAAAATTTAAAATATATATATTTATTCGAGAGAGACACACAGGTTGACAGAGCAAGTTTCTGTCTGCCAGGACTGGACCAATCTCAAGCAGAAAACTAAGCAAATTCAGCTCAGATCTCCCACATGCTGGCAGGCAACCAATTCCTTGAGCCCCACCATCACCACTGCCTCACAGGAACTACATTGACAGGAAACTGGAGCCAGAAGCTGCAGCTGGGTACAAAACCCAGGTGCCCTAATGTAACGTGCAACCCATCAAAAACCTCAATGAAAGATACATATACAAGTTTAACTCATTTGACTCATTTTTCACTAACACATTTTTGTATCCACTATTACAATTAATCAGGCTGTTCACTCCAAATTTATTTAAAAGATTTATTAACAAACCATCCCTAATACTAATTTACAATAGATCCCACTAAGAAACTGCAGCAATGGCTAGTTTGAAATAAAATATGTTTACAACTTCTCACTGTTTCCACTTCACAGTCTCACAGGCACAGACAAATAACTCCCATACTTTGCCTGCCTAATTTCTTGTTTTGTAGATTCTGCATTAATTAGAAATGTCCATGCTACTTTATTCTGACTTCTCTGTTCATTTCCTCACATGACTATAGCAGAAGGAACAAACCCCCAAAATAGCCGCTTAGCCCAGAGTGCATAAAACGTATCAGTTGGACTGAGTAATCATTTTCTTATCATCCGGTAAAAGACTTTCCCATTCCTTCTGTCAACTTAACGTCCAGCTATTACTTGCTCTTAGCCACAACCACTCTTTAGCAACCTCTTAATAGTTGACAGCTCTTATAGCTCATGTCTGAATGCGTTAGTAAAAACAGTTTTGAAAATAGACTTTTAAAAAGCTTGTAATTTTTCACAGTAGACATCTTAAAATAAAGCAAAAGCTGAAAGAAAATACACATATACCAAACAGCTTACCAAAAATACATATCAAAAAATTATTTTCATGCCATTTTGTGGTGACAAATGTTCAATCAGTTCTTGATGCTCTGTGTGCATCATATATGTACATAGCATATGTGCATAAACTCTATATGTATACATTATATGTGTACATATGCATTACCTGTATGAAGCTCAGTGACGTAAAAGATGTATAGCACATTTCATAATTTTTAAGGAAACACAATCATCCTTTTGTGAATTCCAAGGAGCCAGTTATCCTCATAGGATATTTTCATTTATTTTTTCTGAACTTTTATATTCCTTACCAAGCTATACATAAAAGTGATGAATGAGTGTAATTCCAACATGATTAGTGATTACTCATTTTTTAACTAATGTAAAAACGAGATTCAATAAAGACAAGCATGTTGGAGCTTCCTAGGTCCACCCCTGATGTCAGCAGCTTCCTTGCTGGACTGAATAATAGCTCTCAAATGCTGGAAGGAGTGTTTTTGTTTGTGTGTAACTACTGCTCACAATGTAATAGCTAAAAACATGGCACACTTTTCAGTTTAATTTACATGAGTAACATTCCCTCCATTGTTTTTACAGGTCTATAGCATCAATGAGTCAAATCTAAGTTGATAACATCAACCGTCATGGCTAATTTTAAGGCATGCAGAATTAAAGCTATACAGCATTACAAAGGACAGATATGAAGGTACTTTTAAAAGTTCGTGGAGAAAATAATTAAAAAGATAATTTTGTTTGTGTGCAAGACATTTTTTAATCTGTACTGTGGTTTCATAGCATGCATTTGCCATGAATTTTTTAAAAGTATTTTTATATCACAGGTGTAAATAACTTTGAGTATACATAGTAGTAAGGTATCAAAAAACAACTAACATGAAATGATCTTTCAGCATTCACTGCCTTTTTGTTTTAATATATTTATTTAGTCATAATTTTTATCATTTAAGACTGATTTATTTGAAAGACCAGGATACAGAAGAAATAGGGCATAGGTCACTCCCCAAGTAGCCACAATGGCTGGGAATGGACCAGGTCAATGCCAGGAGCCTAGAATTCTATCCAGGTTTAATACATGAGAGGCAGGGACACAAGTACTTTGACTCATCTTCTTAGGTTCAAGCAGGGAGTTGGATTGTAAGTGAAGCACAAACCGATGCTCAGATGGCTTGCTGGTGTCAGGCCATGGCTGTGGTTGACCACAATGCCAATCCCAAGTTTCTATTATTTAATTTCTCTTTTTCAAAAAATATTTATTTTATTGGAAAGGCAGATTTACAGATAGAAGGATAGACAGAGAAGAGAAAAATCTTCCATCCGCCTTTTCACTCCCCAAGTGGCTACAATGGCAGGAGCTAAGCTGATTCAAAGCCAGGATCCAGAAGCTTCTTTTGAGTTTCCTACACATGTGTAGGGCCCCAAGACTTTGGGCCTTCCTCCACTGCTTTCTTGAGCCACAAGCAATGAGCTGGATGGGAATAGGAGTATCCAGGATGCAAACTGGCATGTACATGGGATGCTGGCACTTGCCAGTGGAGGAATCAGCCAGTAGATTCATTGTGCCTACTCTGTAATTCAACTCTTAGTGATAGCTCTGTTTAACAACTATCTTGGAAAATTTCTGAAAATCTAAAACTGGACTCTCACAAGCTGAGAAGAACCTGATGCAGCTCACCACAAGCCCATGTGTTTCCCTCATAGGTCGGCTTGGGAAACCAAAAATCACACAGAGTCTGATGACATCTGTGAACAGCACCTGTAATGTCACACTGACATGCTCTGTGGATACAGAGGAAAAGAACGTGACATACAGTTGGAGTCCCCGAGGAAAAGGCAATGTCCTTCAGATCTTCCGGGGCCCTGAGAGCCAAGAACTGAACTACACGTGCACAGCCTGGAACCCTGTCAGCAACAGCTCTGACTCCATCTCTACCCAGCACCTCTGCTCAGGTGAGCTCCTCCCTCCATCCCTCACTGTGAGTCCCAGAAACCACGCTGAGGGCTCCAGGTCCTGGTCTCCAGGGAAATGTGCCTCTGCTGCCCTGAACCTCGTCCCCAAGGGCATCTCCTCCCAGCAAACTTGCTGTGGAGTGGAGCGAACCATTTTCTGAGATACTAAGCCTTTAAGGATGCTCTAAAGCAGTTCCTGCCCTGCTCTGGGTTTCTAAGGCACAAGAAGTAGATTGCCTAGAAGTTTTGATAGCCCCTGGAGAGGTCCCAAAGTTGAAAATGTCCTCTGAATGTAAACAAGTATGCCCAGCCTAGTAGGCCTGCTTCCTCAGAGTCAAGACTTGTCACTATTTGTTTCCAGAGATGGTAATGGGCAGCAGTACTCAACGCATCAAGCTTCTGAGTGGATTGACTGTGTTGTTCCTGCTGGTTCTCATTCTGTCTTCAGTATTCTTGATCTATTGGTACAAGAGACGACAAGGTAGGATTTTTACAGATGGTAAATTTTGAAAATGTACCACCATCTCTTTCCTGGTATTGAAGTCATTTATCCAAGGTGAGGTGAAGAGCTATTCTACCCAAGGTCCTCCTTTCCCATAAACCACAATTAAAAACATAGGCTCTCTGCCTCCATGATGACCCCATCCTGATCACTTACCAGACACCAATTATTTGATCACTGTAAGCTTATGTTTTCTCAGTTGTAAAACATTCATAATAGTATGGCATGCCACATGCCCTTATTTAGTGGCTCAAATGGAATTCCACATGTCACATACTTGGACTGGTGTATGAGAAGTGCTCAGGAAATGTTAGTTGCTGTATGTAGAATTGACAGGTCCAGAAATAATACGAAGGAGACGCTCTAGGGATAGGACCTTTGCAACATGCACAGGAACTCAGACTCTGGAAGAGAAGTCACATCCTGCTTATTTCATAGATGATCTGCCAAGTCCCTCAAAAAAGTATCTACCCTTAATCCCACCCTCCACCCCCCAACACACACACACACTAGATTGTGGAATAGAGTGAAGTACTATCCTTTGCATCTGTAGTTGAGATAAGAGACGACACTAAGTTGACCCATTCTCTCTAAAATGTTGGAACCCTGTGACATTGCCATCCAGACACACTATTTGTAGACATATTGGTTTTCCCTGAATTCTGAAGACTCCCGATTTTGGCTATCTCTTTTGAACTTGACCACAAAATGTTCCATGTTAGCACCACAGCACAAGAGTCTATTGAGATGAAGATCTCTTTTAACCCATAAATTACCAAAAACATGGACTTCATCTCTTTTGTGTTTGTTTCTCTGGGGCATCACACACAGTAGGGCACAAGAAGAAGATCATAAATATTCATTAAGAATGTGATTCATTTGCTTGGACTGCCATTGGTTTTTTTGTCAAAGATTATTTGGCTGTATTTGTGTGGGTTCCCTTGTGGTGTTTCTATTCTGTTCCATTGATCTTCGTCTCTGTCTTTGTGCCAGTACCGGGCTGTTTTGATAACCACTGCTCTATAGTATGTCCAGAGATACGGAACTGTGATTCCCCCTGCTAACTTCTTGTTTTTTAGGATGTTTCTAGCTATTCGTGGTTTTTTGTGTTTCCAGATGAACGTTTGAATCATTGTGTCCAGTTCCGTGAAGAATGTTTTGGGAAATTTGATTGGAATTGCGTTGAAAATATATATTGCTTTTGGTAGTATAGACATTTTAATGATATTAATTTTACCTATCCAGGAGCATGGGACGTTATTCCATCTTTTGAGGTCTTGTTCAATTTCTTTTTTGAATAGTCTGTAGTTTTCTTTGAATAGGTCTCCTACATTTTTGGTTAAATTTATTCCCAGATACTTCCTACTTCCCTCTGTTATTTTGAATGGTATCTTGCTAGTTAGATCTTTTTCCATCTTGGGGCTGTTTGCGTACACTATGGCTGTTGATTTTTGTTCATTAATTTTGTACCCTGCCACTCTGCCGAATTCTCGTATAAGTTCTAGCAGTTTCTGTATTGAGTCTCCTAGTTTTTCTATGTACAGGATCATGTCATCTGCATATAGTGAAAGGGTAGCATAGAGTAACACTATATTGGTGATAACAAAAAGTTAGTGTTGGTATCCTGCCATTAACCACAGATGGTATTCAAGTTCTGTTAGTTTTGTTATTTGAAATCCAACTCTGATATTTAGTAGTATTTAGTCATGTTTTTTTCCAGTCCCTCTGAGCATTTCAAAAGATACTTAGCATATATCTAGACATATTTTGTAGACTATTGCTTAATTTAGGCTTGCTGATATTTGCCCACAATTAAGCGGTTTCTGGGTTTGCAGAAAGAACACCACAAAATAAACAGCTTTATCTTGGAAAAAAAAAAAAGAATGTGATTCAATCAAGCAAGCAATAGTTGATTGAGGAACGTCTATTACGTGCTTTAATATTGAGTAGATACAGAAAGGTATGTACCAGAAGAATGGAATACATGGTGTAGAACTAGTGAAAATCAGGTTAAGGCCTAACGTGAAAAGTTAGCTAGGCATGCAAAGCAGTCAATGCTACGTGCCCAAGACACCGAATCCCAGAGAACAGCGGGATTCTCACTCACCTGATCTAGACTCTAGAGCAGAATTCTGAGTTCTGCGTGATGACTGAGCTGGGATCTGCTATTGATATGAAATCTCTAGAAAAGGCAGAGACAGTCTGAGGATGCAAGCATGCATTTCCAAAGGATGGCAGCCACTGGACATCTTAGAGCTTCATGTCTTTATATTATAAAGAAAACATGGGCCTAGATCATCTCTAAAAATCCATTCACCTCTCACCCACTGTGCTTCTGTGCTTGTGAAACAGATGCTTCCTCAAAGGCAACAATATATACATACGTAACAGCTTCAAGAGAGGCACAGCCTGCAGAGTCCAGAATCTATGATGAAATCCGCCATTCCAAGGTGAGCTGGTGGCCAATCCTACCCCTACCATCAGCATGGGTGTCACTGTGGCCACCTGCTTCTATGACCTAAAAAGCCTCTGCAGCCAAGAATCTAGAGTGTGCAGCCCAGAAATACCACATCAATGAGATGAGGCTGTGAGTCTGTTTCTTCAGACAGGAGCACGGCCAGCAGGTTTGCTGGGAAGAGATGCCCTTGGGGACGAGGTTCAGGGCAGCAGAGGCACATTTCCCTGGAGACCAGGACCTGGAGCCCTCAGCGTGGTTTCTGCGACTCACAGGGAGGGATGGAGGGAGGAGCTCACCTGAGTAGAGGTGCTGAGTAGAGATGGAGTCAGAGCTGTTGCTGACAGGGTTCCAGGCTGTGCACTTGTGGGTCAGCTACATGTAAAAAAAAAAAAAAAAACAACCCAGAAACAGGGAGGTGTGGTAGATGGGACACAATTACGAATGGGAACTAAGCAGACTGGCCTGATGGGGAAGGTGTGTGTGTTTCAGATGTTCCCCACCAAGAAGGAGCAAATGAACACAGTTTATTCCGAGGTGCAGTACTCTGATAAGGTAACATCCTTGTTGGCATGTTTATCTCCGTTTTATTATGTTTTCCACCCAACCTGGAATGCCCCTCCCAGCAGTATGTAATTTAAAGTAAGACCTCTCAACTAACAGGAAGGTTGTTGACAGCACTCTAAATGACTAGATCACATAATGACCAGATGACAGGTACAAGCACAACTATTGGGTCCTAAAAGAATAAGGACTCGACAAAGAACAAACAGGTACCTTGAGCCTGATGTTGCTTTAAGACTACACATAATACCAAATCCCACTCCCCCTCCAATTTCCTGCTATCTTTCAAGGTAAGAATTGGATTTCCCAGGAGCTCCCAAATGAGGTGGCAGGTACAGAGTCCAAGGACTCAGCCCAGGACAAGGCGTTGCTACCCCCAAATGTCCCTAGTCCCAGGGAAAACTAAGACACGCTCCTGAGCCATTTGACTAGCTGTCTCGGGCGTTGGTGTTCACAGCAGCATGTTTCTGTTAACATGTTCTCGTGTCTCCCTCTTGTGTACAGTTGAGGAAAGCCAGCCGACGGGACAACAAACCTACAGCAACTTCAAGCTATGATATTGTCATCTAGGTCGGTGAATCAGCCCTTCTCTGCACAGTTCTTAGCAGCAGGTTCCAAAACGCCAGATTACAAAAAGTAGGAAACCTGTTGCTGGTCATAGTTCAGGCGCAGATAGACAAAGAGATAGCTGCCCTTTCTGAAAGCGCTCCCTTCTGGAGGAACAACAAGGCAGAGTTCCTGGTACTTCGAAATACATATGGGAAATCCTATTTCTATAGCTCTTCATAGAAAACAATCAAGATTGCTTATGTCTGAAGACTACACATCATGGGAGGTCTCTTATGCCTGACAGGACAACCTTGCCCAGCAATTGCAGATCACTGTTTGACGCATCTGTAACGGGCCATGATGCACCACCTAGGATACTCTGTTCAGATTCAGTGCATGAGAATACTCCTGATGTATGGCTTCCATCAGCCCCAACAGCACACTGAGCGCACTAGGAAAGGCATTCATTCCTTGGAGCAGATGTAGCCCCTCACCCAGCTGCATGGTGTAGTAAGCAGGGTATGGGCCCACACACTCCTTTGCCGGGGAATATCGATGCAGCGTAAACTGGCTCAACAAATTCAAATACAGACGGTGATACTGTGTGGAGGCTGTCAGAGTGATGGCTCTCAGGTGTGCAGACATATTCTCCAAATCAATGGAGTGCTGAAAAATGCTCTTCCTGGGGACTAGACTACAGGCAACTTTTGTTTGGGCTCTCTCTCTGAGAAGCCTTGTAGAATTTCCATTCACAGGCTAGAGCCATGGCTCAACAAGCTAATCCTTCATCATCAAGCACAGCATCCCATATGCACACCAGTTCATATCACAGCTACTTCACTTTGGATCCAGCAATGTGCCTGTGGCCTGGGAAAGTAGCGGAGGATAGCCCAACTCCTTGGGACCCTGCACCCATTTGGGAGACTTGGAAGAAGCTCCTGGCTCCTGGTTTTGGATCAGCTAAACTTGGCCATTGTGGCCACTTGTGCAGTATATCGGTGGGTGGAAGATCTTTCCTTCTGTCTCTCCTCTCTGTAAGTCTGCCTTTCCAATAAAAATAAATAAATCTTAACCAAAAAAAGAATTTCCTTATTTCCTTTCTGTTTCACTCCAACCAGCTTCAGCATGGAAAAGAATCGACACCTAGTGTCTTTGCTTTCTACAATGAATCAATCATGTCTGGCCCTTTAGGGGAACTGGGTGTAACCCAGTAACCACCAAAGCAAGAGTCCTGGGAGGAAACAGTCATTCTTCACAAGAACTTGGGAGATGATGGTGTAGATGATAAAAAATGAGCTCATCCCAGTTCAGAAGGCTCAGCTCAGAGAGTAAAGAGGATCAAGCTGAGGCTGAGTCCCCCTGCCTTGGTATCCCCCCACCCCACTCCACACAGCTGAACAGCTTGCTAGGTTTTTATTCCCAGCAGTGAGGAAGAACACCTCTAGTTGAGCCACTCATATAATTATTTGAGGAAGTTCTCCCCTTACGTGTTAGCAAGCATAATCAGCCAGTTTCTAAAGTCTCACAAAAAGTCCTAGATGACACAACAGAATAAACTGCTTTTAAGAAGCAAAAATAGGCCAATCCCAAAGAATGATTCCAAAGAATCATCTAGCAAAGACCACCATGACCACTGTACAGTAGGGACTGTAAGGCCCAAAAGTGTAAGAGAAGAATAATGTCTCCACTTTTGTCAAGATGAAATTCTGAACAGATTCCACAGTTAATCTGGACTGTGAGCTGCAAGCACTGGCATGAGCTGCACCAGTCAGAGAAGACCAGGCAGTCGAGAGTTGAAGCTAGGCACGGAAGGATAGATGGAATCTGGGTGAAAAAAAAAAAATGAGGAGGATGGGGCCTCCAAGTGAAGGAAAACTGATTGGAGACCTGAATCCATGGAATGCATTCAGGTCAACTTGCTGGCAACACTGTGCATGTTCCTACGCCTTGCCTCCATGCAGCAGACTGCTTTGCAAAGCCTTCAACACGCACCCCGGTGGCGCCTCCTCTTTCTTGCTTTCTCTCGCAACATCAGTCAAAATTAACCACAGCTCTTTTTGTCATTCTTTTCTAAGCCCGCTTGGGGTCTCTCTGTCACTATAACTCATTTCATCCTGCCCTAAAGCATAAATAACCATGTTTCCTTCATGATACTGTGAACTACTTAAGGGCAAGATCCGTGGCTTCTCCTTTGTTTTCTTCACCTCTTCAGCCCTTCGATAGAACATGAGCTTGTGTCAAACCATGATATGTTGAAGTTTTTTTCCCCCGATTACTGCTAATATACAGAATACCTAAAAGATATAATGCATATGAGCAAAACTAACATTTTAAGATTTGAGAATTGTTTATAAATATGCCTGAGTAACAGTGATTTTTATGTTTACTATTTGTTGAAATTTTTATTTCTTGGGGGGTTAAACCTGAAAAAAAGAGAGAGAGAGAGAATGGGAGAGGAAGGGTGCGGGGAGAAGTATCACTGTTCTCTTAAAATTATATATATATATAATACATATTTCTTCTCATTGCATAAATTTTTTAAATAGTAAGTTTTTTTAAAAAAAAAACTATGCATAATGAATCTCCACAGCAGAGCCTTCGAGTGGAAAGCTCCAGTAAGGAGGGGGAACCCCTCTGCCTGCAGACGTGTTGGGCTTTCCCGGGCACAACAAAATGAGGAATGTGGGACTCAGGGTTCCCCAGGAGAGGAAAATGCTTAAAAAATGTTTTTTCTTAGAAATCCTTTGGAACACTGGGAACTGCACATTCCACACTAGGGCTTGGCGGGGCCACCTTGAATAAAGGACACAGTGTCCTGCTCTGGGATGTGTCAAGAAGATACTCCTCAGGTTCTTCCAGGGGAAGAGTGAGGGTCAAGTCTTCCAGATCCATGACTTCACTTCTGTCTTCTCCCTGAATTTCCCTTGATCTGTTTAGTCCTATCATAGTACACACAGGTCTGTACTGGTAATGAAATGAACAAAGACACCTTGGAGGAAGTGTGGCAAGTGCTCAGAGGCAGGCGGTGATATTAGCGAACATTTGGAACTGAGGCCTGACTTCTCAGCTGCATCACCATGGGAAGGTATTTCAGTCTCACCTCATATCAGGTTACCCATCTGTGAAAAAGAAATGATAATAACAGTCCCTGCCTTATGTGGAAGCGTGGTGGGTTGACAAGATGTTCCTATAAGAATATGTCCATTCAGGAGCCTGGCATGGTAGACTAGTGGCTAAATTCCTTGTCTTGCATGCACCAGGATCCCATATGGGTGCCCGTTTCAATACAGGCAGCTCTGCTTCCCATCCAGCTCCCTGCTTGTGGTCTAAGAAAGCAGTAGAAAATGACTCAAAGCCTTGGGACCCTGCCCATTTTGGAGACCCGGAAGAGAGTCCCTGGCTCCTGGCTTCGGATTGGCTCAGCCCCAGCCATTGCAGCCGCTTGGGGAGTGAACCATCACATGGAAGATCTTCCTCTCTGTATATCTGACTTTCCAATAAAAATAAATAAATCTTTTTTTAAAAGAATGTGTCCACTCATGGTAAAGTTTTGTATTATTTTATAAGCTGTGCTGGTAGGCCTGAAATCTTCATAAAACGTTAATCCAAAGTCACAAAAAAAAGGACAATCTAAATACATTGGGGCTTTTTTGCTAAATCAATGCCACATACCAAACTCGTAACCCTCAATCCCCCTACCCTAGACACACCACATTCTACTATGCCTGTATCCCCATCTACCCCGGGAGAACAGGTGCTCCTTAAGTAACAACCATCATGGGAAAGGAGCACTCCTTGAGGGCAGAGAGCCAGCAATAACTCATTGAGAGTTTATTTCTCATTCCAACTGCTACACTAGATGCTTTACACATTGTGGTCACTTCTTGGAAGAACCCGGGAAAGAAGAAATTAATTCTTCTCGCTGACATAAAGGCTGAGGGGCTAAATAGTTTTGCAAAGTTAGGAATACAGGAAGAGAGAATTTGAATGTAAGACATACCACCAGGAGCCATGTGCTTGCCCTTGACCGTACTGCTTCTGTTTACTTGTTGGGGATCTCTAACACCTGACATTGATCTCAGGTATAGCACACATCTGGCCCTTTGCTTGACACAGAACATTTGGCCCACAAAGATCTGTGGAATGAATCATCACATTTGCTTTGTCAGTACGTCAAAATACCTGGAACCCACTCTACTTTCTTTTTAAGATTTATTTTATTTTTAGTTGCAATTCAGATATACAAAGAGGAGGAAAGACAGAGAGAAAAATCTTCCATCCAATGATTCATTCCCCAAGTGGCCAAAATGGCCACAGCTAAGCTAGTCTGAAGTCAGGAGCCTGGAGCCTCTTTCAGATCGCCCACACGGGTGCAGGGTCTCAAGGCTTTAGGCTATCCTCAACTACTTTCCCAGATCACAAGTACGGAGCTAAATGGGAAGCAGCGCTCCCGCGATTAGAACCAGAGCCCATATGGGATCCTGGTGCATGCAAGGTGAGGATTTCTCTGCTAGGCTATCATGCCCAGTCCAAACCAGTTCCTTTTTACTGTCTTGCTTTTCTTTTTTTTTCACTTGCTGAGTTTCATCTCTTTTATATATATATATATAAACAATCTTTACATAGTTGATTAGGGTAAAAAGGGTCAAGGGCTACAGGAAAGTGGGTAAGACTATTATTTCCATATTGTTTCCTTCATGTTTAAAGGGGGTATTAAGGGAGAAGGCCCACCCAATTTCCCACCCTCCCCAGGTCCTGGATGTAGGGCATGCTCTGAGGTTCTTGCTCAAGTGGTTTTGATATTTCAACAGTTATGAATCGCTGCCAATCTCGCCACGCCAAGCACTGTGAGGTCCTTGAGGATTCCACTGATTGACATAGTCCACCATAGAATCTCTGTTTGCCCCGTATTTTGCTGCCAAGATATAGCTGGAATGGTTGGTTGACTTGTTCTGTCTTCTCTCTTTTCTTGGTTAGGGTTCTGAGTCCAGCATTTTGATTGGGGAGATCTCCAATGAAACTTTGTCTGAGGTGTTCTCGCACCTGATTCTTGTATGTGCTAGCAAGTACAGGGCCCGGCACAGTCCATTGCCCCAATCAGCTGGTGGTTGTAATTGCTGGGTTGGTTCTGTTTTCACTCCCGACTTCCACTGGAACCAATGGGTGTTGCAGTCCAACCTGGTTCTGCCCAGCACATACTCGGCCCTCACGTAAACCAGTGGGAGCTGCAGCCTAGTTGGAACGACCCACAATAACCCCCACCAGGCCTGCCCGCTACCCTGGTTTGCCAGTATGTGTAGCAGTAGTCCAGTCTGTCCCACATCCCATTCCACCCCAGCCACTGTCCTAGTTTTATGCCCTCCCATGGAAGTGGTACCCAAAAGGGAGGAGCCCACAATTTTCCTCCCAGGCCTCTCCCACTCCCAGATTATGCACTCTCCAGATAGTTTTGTGGTTTGGCTTGACAGAACTGGCCCCCAGTGCCAGCTTCTGCCAGCTGATGCTGTGGCTAAGCCCAAACAGCCCTCACCCACTCTAATTTTGTTTGCACCAGTAGGAAAAATCAGCCCAGG